TTGAATTACAAGATTAGATATACTTTAGTTGATCTAAAATATTGATGTGTTCAAATGCTCTTCAAAACACAACTGAAAGTCCATGAAACTTGTCTTTCTGTATTTGTGAATGAAGCGCCATCTCCTGGTTAAAACCTGAAATAGAAAATCTGGCAACGCCCTCTTGGAAAATAGTGGGAGGGCTTAACATTCCTCTATACTGGTCTTTGGCAGGCCGTAGGCAGGAAGCTGTAAGCTGGAGTCCGAAATTCAGTGCTACATCTGTAGATATGTTTAGTTTTACTGTCGGCTCACTCATTACTGATCCGCGAGCTGCATGATACTGACGGGCTTTCAGGGGAGAGAGAGAGCGCTCCGTTTATTATTCCTGTGTTATCGTAAATTACTGTACACTTTTGAATAATATAGTTAATCTACTATAATTAGTTTGTTTAATATCGAATCATATCAATTTGTTTTAAAGCTCAATAAATAACAAAGAAGACCTTTGACCGGCACTTTTCAAATTTTGTCCGGAAGATTTCAACTTTAACGGACATGTTGACCGGCGAAAAAATATTCTAACGGGAACTCGGACATTATCTTTAGTTATGTGCTATAGGCTTGGACATGAAGTTGGGGTGTGGCTGCTCCCTGCGTGAGTTTGGCCTTTTCCTGACTGACTTCCTTGATTTATCAATGGCTGGCTTTGAGAATTAACCTTTGGACTTTGACTTCTATGAATCTGCCCCTCTATGAATTGTTGGTTTCTCCAGCTCTTCAGGATACTGATTTCCATAGTTAAAGTGATTCATAAAGTATTATACTGCCTTTTTGCCTTGGGGCTTCGCAGACTACAGTGTTACATAAACAGATCCTCTACCAGACAGATAGCAGAGCATTATTTCTGGTGTTCCACAGCTTCTCACTGCTGGTTCACTGGTCGGATGCCCACAGAGAAATAACTAGTAAATAACTCTAAAAATTGCCTTCAATCACAGCTGTGCTGCTGACATCACATGCTCTCAGAAAGAAGGCCTCAGCTGTTGAGCTTTAACCGCTTTCTTTAGCTTTAGTTTGGCAAAGGCTCCCCCCAGTGGCTACATGGCGAGTAACAGCTGTCCTTTCGGAGAGTATTATTTAACAAGACTAATATCCTAAATACTCAATGTACCATGACTGATGACAGAATTATGGTGATGTATTCTGACTAATATTCATGAGTTTCTACCAAATGAAATGTTGAGTTAATTGTTGAGGTACTTGAACTTCACTTAAACATTTCCATCTTTATGGTTGTCATGATTGGTTATAGTATATCACGAGAGTGCCAGGTTAATGTTGCATGACTTTATATGTTGACTAAAAACACTGACCTGAACTCTGTAAACTAAATCAATTTGCTTTAAAACTCTGTAAAAGGATAGAGGGTGTTATACGCAAAGATAAAGACACATTTGTGACTCGACTTCTTCTTGAATACACTCTCACATTTTACTTTGGAGAGCTAATGAGCGTTTCCTATTCATTCAGACCACACAGGAGAGACATTAAAAACAACCAAGGGAAGAGCTATATGGAAGCAGTTTATTAGCTAACTCACATCCTGTGAGTTTTGTTCATCCATTTGAACGTACAAGAACATACTCATCATAATACTGACATCTCTCTTCATACAGTGGATTACTAGTTAAAGAGAATCACTACACAACAATAATCTATCACATCATCATGGTCAAACACAAAAAAAACAAAAGCAAACTGAATCTCTACAGGAACAACACACAAACTAAGGAAAAGAGATGATAGGTAGAGGGCAGCTTCTAGAATATCCACAGAAAAGGTCAAAGCATGTTTTGTTATATCTGTGTCCCAGTATACTCTGTAAGCAGCTTTCATTTACAGCCATACTCCCTGAATCTCATCTGGTCATCTAACCTAATTCACATACATCTATTTTCCAAAAAATAACTTCCCACAATAGACAGTAGACAACATTACAAAGAATTTAAATATTGTCAGACAAAATGTGATCAACATCAACACAGTCATAAATCTTAAAAATAGTTGTGTTTTATGAGTAAACAACAACTGGATCTTAAACAACATGTATGTGATGCATCATGCTGGGGGGGTCTGCTGTTTATGCTGAGGGCTGATGAAGGACCACTGCTCCAAGTCTTTGAGGGCTTTCAGAAGGCGAGAAGGGATGAAGATGCAGGGATCCTGGAAGACAGGACATGTGGGATGATCACATTTTAGTCAAATTACCTTAGAGAAGTATTGTAATGATAATAACATAGACATCATTAAAGGAAAGCCCCTTTTTATTATCTGTTTGTCAACTCAGAACACTATAATAAACAAAATCATACATGGGTTTTTCCTTTTTGATTAAAGGATCATTTCAGTTTATTATGGTTTATTAACCATAGAGTGACTGGGCGAGCACCTGAACTGCCCGGTAACTCCAGGAATTACATCCATCATGGACAATTGCTAACACGTCACAGTAACTGAGAACTTCAAAAGCATTGGCAAAAAATAATCAGGTGTTTTTTTAAATCATCGAATAAAATTCAACAACAATATATTCTTGATTCAAACCCAGGTTAAACAGCCAGTTATATTATCCTGTACTGTAAGTTTAAATATCCATGTTAGTTTACTATGGATATTGTAAAGAAGAGTAACTTGTAACTTATATAGATAACTCTAGATGCTCAATGGGCACATCATTTCATGTCTTTGGGGCCCATATAGCATAACAGGTTGCTACCATGCTAGTGTACACAGTTTCCTGATGCAACCGTGAATTCTTAGTGACATTTCAGGTGCACTCCCTGTCAGTTTTAACACAAAATAAAGTGTGACTGTTTATTAATGATTGTATTGTTTAATAAGAGTATGTTAACTTGGTGGCATTAATGTCACTGTGTAGGGACACATCAGTTTGACTGATAGAAATGTTGAACAAAACAATGAAAATTAGACCAAATATAAACAGATGCTTCTCTCATCAACTGGAAGCGTTAGAAGCCAAACTTTGGAAACACACACATCTATTCACCAAAGACACACCATATATCACATCTTCCTATTTTTTATTCCTCCGATCCATCATATTTTGATGCCGAAAGAATGTTATTTATGTGAACACCAATATTGCCAAAAGTAAACTCAAATGAACTGCATATTTCATCTTTCAAGGATTATATTATTGCAGCATGATTTTGAACATTAGTTTTGTTGACGTTTTGTGCAAATGAGTCTACGTTTTAAGCTTAACATGCAAGATGTTGGTTACTCATGTAGAGGATAGTACAGCCATGGTGGAAGCATTATTATCTGAGTGCTTGTGTATATTTCTCCTTATATTATGGCTGTTCAACTGTTGATTTACTTGTGTTCAGACACTAATGCTGGAATCACATGGTTTCTGAGCAGATAAGGGGAGGGGAAATATGCATCTCAGAAACGTTTGCTTTTTCTCGTCCAGTGGGCACTAACGGCCCGTCCACACAGCAGCTTTGAAAAAATCTTGAAAATCTTGGAGGTGGGCGTGTATGAAAGCTTGGGGATTTTTTGCGAGCAAAGCGACCAACAACCAATCACATGATTCTCCCGCCCCGACATACAAAGCAATAGCAATGTTAAAACGAAGTAAACTGGATATAAACTCTCCAAAC